TGAGTATTGGGGGTGGATCCCTTATGAATGGATTAATGCTCTCCCTGGGGAAGGGGGGAGTAGTGAGTGAGGTCTCACTCTATGCTCTATTAGTTCACGCAGGAGCTGATTATCTAAGGGACCTTGGCACCTTCTCTCTCTCTTGCTTCCTCTCACCATGTGATCTGCTTGTACCCACCAGCTGCCTGCCGCTTTTCCTCCATGAGGAGAAGCAGCCTGAGGCCCGTGCCAGATGCAGCTGTCCTGGAATCGTAAGCCAAATAAACCTTTTTCCTTTATAAATTACCCAGTCTCAGGTATTTCTGTTATAGCAACACAAAACGGACTAATACATACCCCTTCCAACTACAAAGTTGTATCACAGCACAGAAATCAGGAAGAAACTCTAAGAAGTTTATATTTCCACCATGGGTGTAGTCTTCATCTTCTTTAGATAAAAGATTGCCTGCAGAGCATTGTTCTCTTAAGTAAAGCTAGAAGCTCAATGGTGAATCTGCCCTTTTCCTTTCTAAACAGTTTCCTGACCTTTGCTGCCTCTTTTGCCCAGATAGGGAATGTGCCTTAGAGTAGCTTCTGCTCTAGTTAGTTAGTTAATTCTAATCAACATTGTCTCACTTTTGGTTGCTCTTCATACTCACATGCGCTTATGCACACTTTTTTATTCTCAGCCATTTGAGTTAGTTGCAGCTGTCATAACAGTACATGCCTAAATGCTTAAGCATGTATCTCAAAAAAAGAAGGTATTTTCTTATATAATTATCACAGTCTGGAAATTAGACATTAATACAGTATTCTTACAGTCTATATTCAGCTTTCCCAGTATAATTATAACTGATTTTGGTTTTGGTCCAGGTTCTAATAAAGGTCATACATGTATTTAGTTGTCATGCCTCTTTGGTCTCCTAGAACAGTCTTTTTTTGGTTTTTGATGAAATTTGTTAATAGTGTAGGCAAACTATGTCTGGACCAACTGCCTGGTTCTACAAATAAAGTTTTGTTGAAACACAGCTATGCTTATTCATGTACATATTGTATAAGGCTCCTTTTGCACTACAATGGCAGAGCTGAATAGTTGTGACAGAGACCATGTGGTCTGTAAGCCTGCAGTGTTTACTATCTGGCCTTTCAAGAAGTTTGATGACCCCTAGTCTAGGCAGTTTGTTATTCATGACTCCCAATTTGAGCTTACTGATTGTTTTCTCAATTAGATTCAGATTAAACATTTTTGCCAACAATACTACATTGGTAATGTTATATTTTTCTCAGAGTACACGGTATCAGGAGGCATATGAGATCAATTTATCCTGTTTTTGTAATGTTAAGTCATGGGGGAGGTTTGTAATAAAAGACAACTTCATAAAATTGGTATTTTTAACTGATACTCCAGGATAGGTAGTGTTCAAATAGGTGGGGAAAAGGTTTTTCTAGTACACATTGTCTGTGACATCCTTCTGTACGTACTAATAATAATTATCCTAAATTAGCATGTTCATCCATTCACATGGCTAGAATGAATGATAGCATAACAACTTATTGTCCCTGTTGGTAGCAAACAATGCACTGTAGGTTTTCTCCCATAATCTGTACCTTTTATTTGCTTGTTTAATTTTGCATTGGTAATTGCCTTTTCTCTTACACTGTATCCAAGAGCTCTATAAGCAAATTGCTTCAGATTTTGGATACTGTAATTAAAAATTTCTACCTTTCCTAAAAGCTTAATAAAATTCCACCTCTGTGAAAACCAGAACCCCAAAAGTATTGCATTCCAGAAGCAAATGTTGGGATATACATACTTTTTTAAGGTAGCTGAATAGATAAGGCATATGAAGCACCAGTTTACTTAGATACTATTTATTTATACCATTTTGGAAACATTAATTGTAAAAATAGATGGATTGAAAAAAGTGCATGTTATATTAATGTTGGCAGTATTAGCAGATAATCTAAAATTGTTTCCATATGGTGCCCTTGTGTTAATGCCAAAGGAACAGCTGCCTTCTGGGTATTAAAACAAAAGTTGAACAAGTTTATATAACTATCGTAGTCTTAATGTCATTTTATAAGAGTAGAGGTGGCTTTGAGGAAGGTAAACTTGTTATAAGTGTTCAAAGAGCATCTCATTCCACAGGTGATGAATCCCATTAAAGAAAATCTTTCAAGAATGTTACAAGCAAAAATGCAAGAGTTAATGAGTTTTTTAAAGGCAAAAATGTGGACTTTTATTTAGAATGACTTTTGATAGGGCCGAGCCCGTGGCGCACTTGGGAGAGTGCAGTGCTGGGAGCATAGCAGCGCTCCCGCTGCGGGTTCGGATCCTATATAGGGATGGCCGGTGCGCTCACTGGCTGAGCACGGTGCGGCCGGTCTCAAAAAGGACAAAAAAAAAGAATGACTTTTGATAGAAACCATTTTCTAATTTTAAGGAGAAAACAATGAAAGCTATTCCAACCTTATGGATTTGTTTTTGGATTTTGATGGCATATGTATTGTATTTAAAGACTTGAGAAACTACATTTTTCAAAATCAAGTTTCTGTTCTTACAAAGCAAAGGACTACTGGAACATAGTAATTACCCTTTTTGAAGGATAGTTTTGCTGGATATAGAATTCTTGGTTGATGGGGTTTTTTTTCAGCATTTGAATTTCATTCTACTGCTTCCTGACTTTCATTGTACCTGATGAAAAGTCAGCTGCTAATCTCCTTGTATATTTAGTGTCATTTTCTCTTGCTGCTTTCAAGATTTTCTCTTTGCCTCTCCACAGTTTGACAATAATGTGTCTAGCTGTAGATCTTTTTGAGTTTATCCTTTTTGTAGTTTGTTGGCTTCTTGGATGTTTAGTTTAAGGTTTTCATGAAATTTGGTAAGTTATTATGATTATTACTTCAAATATATTTTTTTCCAGCCCTTTATTTCCCTTTCTGTGACTCCCATTACATTCATGTAAGTACAGTTTTGTTTGTTTTTGCTGTCTGTTCTTCAGACTGGATAATCTCTATTTAAAATGGGAATTTTTTAAACTTGAAAATATTGTAGTCTGAAACATACAATGTCAAGTTTATATATATTTTTTAAAAATCATCCCACCAAATACTGATATTTAGATATTTGTTTAGTTGAAATTTGTTTATCCTTTCATTATGTTCATTTTTGAGCTAGGTATGTGAAGTGTAGGGTATCAGTACTCAAGATAATATTGCAGGCCAATTCCTTGTTTAAAAAATGCAGCAACAAAAAATCCTACCCATTTGGTTGTTCTAGAAATGTTGGTGATTCAGGAAGGACATGTAGTTCATGAGGGAAGGTATCACAGACCAATGAAGTTAACTTGGTGAAGAAGTGGGCTGAGGGTGGGGGGTGGGAATTGGGGGATTTCTTTTCTGAGGACATATTCAGAGGACCAGAAGCAAGAGAAAACATGATATATTTAGAATGGAAAAATGGTCTCAGGTGAGTCAGAAAGCCAGGTAATTAAGAGAGGCCTCGAATGTCTTAAATAGGCCAAAGAAAACCTTTGAAGGGTTTTAAGCAGAAGAATGGTGATAAGATTTAACTAAAAATCCAATAAGGTATTATGATAAATTGCTAAATGAATGATACAGAACTAAGTTTCATAAGAGTTTAAAGGAGGACACACAAGAGTGAATCAGTGATCTTGTTTAATGACAGTACCTAGGTGACAGTTGAGTCTGAGAGTCTTAAATCTTGGTTTTGATGATTATGATGAGGTTTTTTTTTTACCTCTGAATAAAATACATACATAAATGACTTTTTTCATGTTGATTAAAGTAATCACTTCGGTACAGAATGATTTTATAAAGCCAAACTTATTCAACATTTATTTAATAAATATTAAGCATCTGCTGTGTGGTAAGCACTGTACTTTGAGTGAGCAAAGACAGACACTGTCATTCTTATAGCGCTTATAGTAGAGAAACCACCATTTGTCAAATTAATCACATAATTATGTGTGTAATTACAATCTCTGCTAAGTGCCAGGACGGAGGATGCAAGTTATTATGTCTAGCTGGAGTGGGTGGATGGGTCAAAGGCTTTTCTGAGAATTGATATTTGAGCCAAAATTTGAGGGTGACTGAGGGGGTGAAATGGTGTGGGGGTGGGCAGAAGGAATAGCAAAGAACATTTGAAGAACTGCGTGAAAGAAGCAGAATGAATTCAGAGGCCAGAGAAGGAAAGGATGGTGCAAAAATGAAGGTAGAGAAGTAGGCAGTGAATTAAAACATGCTTATCTTAAGAAATCTTCATGAGTTATAGTTGAAATTTATCAAATATAACTTAGGGAATAATTATTTATATGAAAAAAAAATTGTTTTGAATATCAGATTTCTCTGCTCATTCACAAAAAGTCATCATAGGTAAACAAAGATGTATAAAGTTAATGAACAGTAGTTGCTAATTCAAGATTAATCAGAAATTAAAACATGACATCTCCAAAATAATCATTTCACTTTGAGAAAATATGATTCTGTTTCCTAACCATTTATTGAAGCACTATAGGTTTTTATATTTTACTTTTATTATTCCCACATTTAATACCTACAAGGGTACTTCAAAAAGCTCATGGTTAAATGGAATGAAGGATAATACAAATCTTTCCACAAACTTTTTGAAGACCTCTCATATTACCACTCTGTTTAATATTTAAATAGTAACAGTGATCTAAAATTCATAAACTATTTTCCTTCTCGTACTGTTGCACGAGAAAACAAAAACGTTGTTTGGGGTATTGAAATGGGCACTACCTTATTTACTGTACAAGTGCTGTAACTTGTATATTTAGAATCTTAGGTTTTCTTTTTGTTTTTTTTTTTTTTTAGAGGAAGCAATAAATTAAAAATTTCATGTATGATAGAACTAAGAAAGCAACTAATCAACAAAATAAGCTCTGTTAAAAAATGGTTTCTTTGTTTACCGTCTTGAATCATAAGAGTTTTTGTTACAACTGTAGTTTATTTTCATTGCAGGTGGAGGACTGTGATACCAATTGGACATCCTCTACCTGGGACCCGATTTATTGCCTTTAAAGTTCCTTTAAAGGGGGTATGTACATTGTTTTTTTAATCTGTCTCACAAAGAGAAGAACTGAGGCTAACATGACCCATGTCATGCTTTTTGTAAAAATATGTGAGTATAAGTTTCCAGCACATGTTTGACATTATAGAGGAAACTACAAACATTTTCACACATGTATTTATTGTTCATGCTTGTACAAGGGAATAGTAGCTTGAACTAAAATTTTAATAATAGCTTTATTGAGATGTAATCACATACCATGAAATTCACCTATTCAAAGTATATACAATTCAATGGTTTTTAGTATATTCACAGAGTTGTGCAGCTGTCATCACAATTTTAGAGGATTTTTATTACCCATGCCCAAAAAAACCTGTGCCCAGTAGCAGTCACTTCCCCCACTCTCAAACCCTTCCCCCTTTATCCTACCCTGTGCACACAGACAAGAGAAAGCCCTCGGGCAGATAGTCCCAGGTGCTTTCAGTAGGAAACTATGGTATTCCCTGGAACATGCTAAGCTGTAATGGGCAGGTCACTGACAGGGTTGGCTTCAGCTACAGGATCCAAGACTTTGACTTATTTCTGAATTTTTTTTTCCTTTCCTATTTAGTATAGTTAAAGACCCTAATTTTGTCCCTGGATGGAATTATTTTATGACAAAGAAGAAAAGTGAGGGAAGGGCTTGAAGAATACCCTCAAGTCATACATATTCAGCCCTTGATAATTCATGAGAGAAGTATCTGCTTTACATATTTATTTGCAGCTGCATTTACTGCAGCTAGTTCAATTTCTGCTCTTACATTTAATTTTTGTTCAGTCTTTGGAAGCAGTCTTTGGGCAGAGTTGTAAATCTGAATATAGAATGAAGTTGTGCAGAGGCAGATGCCACTTGGTATATTTAACAGGGTGATGGTAGCAAATTTTAATTAGTTTTCTTTAGGTGAACCTGAATACAAAGCAAACAGCACCTAGGAATAACAAATTTTTCTTATTTAAAATCAATAATAAATTATCCTTGTAGAAAAAAATGGAAAATATATAGAAAAGTAAGAGTATAGTAGAAAAAACAACTGAACTTCCATGGTTAAAATGGTGATATGTTTTTTTCAAGAAATTATTTTCCTGCCCCCCCCCCAACACCCTCCCCCAAATCAGGATAATACTATAAATAAAAGTTTCGTAATGTGGTCTTCTTCATTTAAGTTTTTTTTTTTTTTTGTCTTTTTTGTGACCGGTAAGGGGATCGCAACCCTTGGTGTGGTGTCGCCCGCACCGCGCTCAGCCAGTGAGTGCACCGGCCATTCCTATATAGGATCCGAACCCGCGGCGGGAGCATCGCTGCACTCCCAGCGCCGCACTCTCCCAAGTGTGCTACGGGCTCGACCCTTCATTTAAGTTTTTGAAAATTTTTCCATATCATTAGTCTTTGAGAAACATGATGCTTAAGGGTCACATGATATTTTGATGTTTTTATATTATAAATAATGGTACAGTGGTACCCAAACTCTTCCCCCCCCACTTCTCTGATAATTGCCTTAGAATAATTTCTAAGATGTCAAATCACTGAGGCAAAGGATGAAAATTATTTAGGCTTTTTGTACAACACTTAAAAAGTTAAAAGCTTTTTCAGTGTTCTTACATTGTGAAGTTTTTCACCAATTCTTTTTTACCTTGTTATGTTTTTTCTCTTTCTTGTTTGTTCTGTGTTGAGTTTTCACATATTATCTGCGTTTTATAACCTTATTGTTTGTTTTTTGTCATAGGCAGTTAATCAGAGACTTACCCCAGCCCAGAAGTTTACACCAAAAGACTTAATTAGTGCAATAAAAGCACTAAATGTGGAGCTTGGGTTAATTATTGATTTAACATATACCACAAGATATTATGAAGTTAAGGTAAAGTTGCAAATGTATTTTGTTATCATGGGTGGGTCTTAGTAGAAAGGCTTTTTTGAATACTGCACTTGGAAAGTGAATCAAGATAGTCTCGGTTATTTTAATATAAATTTTAGAATTTCCCATGAGTAATTGCTTAGCAATATTTTTGGTCCTTTACATGATTTTTAGATGGATTGTGCAGAGAAAAAAACCTCTGAATTTTATTCTTTTAAGGAAGCAAAATAACTAGAAGAAAAAAATGTACTTGGAAATAGGAAAAGCAAAAAGGGGGCAGGAAAACAAAAGAGGGAAAGAGGACTATGATGAAAAAGAAAACAAAAGAGATAAAGAAAAGAAAATGTGAGATGGGTGTTACTTTACAACAGTGGTTTTTGAACTTTGTGTAGTAGCAAAATCTTTTCAATTAAATCTTGCTCTGAAGTTCATTATAGAAAGCAGATAAATTAGAGTGGTACTGGTTGAAGCAGGAGATTGAGGATCCAGACTCAGTCCACTAGACCTCATCATCATTTTCCAGTCCTCCACTCTTTACTCCCAGTCTTAGAGATAGAGGTACACTTTGGAGAGCAAAGGTTTTAAAACCCTGCTCTGGAGTAAAATAAGTTTTAGATCCTGCTGTTTGATTGGATTGGTGCCACCAAAGGTGTCACATGTCATTCCTACCCTGATTAGGTAACATTTTGTCTTGGGTATCTTACTACCATGTGATACTTCAACATACAAGAAACTTAACATACCATTTTTCTTTACTTCTGTTCTCCTCCTTCTCAAAAATACAAATTAGCTTCCTTGTTTCTCCTGAAAGCATAGAGGATATCAAGGGATTTGAATCTAACTGATAGATTCAATACCCCTATTTAGTCTATCAGTTAGATTCAAATCCCTTGATATCCTCTATTTTCCTGGTACCCTGCATCAAGTCAAGCACTAAAACCTATAGATTTTTTTCCTCTAAAATGTGTCTCAAATTTTTTACGTCCTTTACCTGATTATTCAGCAGTTTGTCTTTTTCATTTTTTGACTAGCTGTCCTTAAACATAATTATTGCCAATTCCAGTTCCTTCCTAAAAACAACCTCTTCAGTTCTGTCTGCCCTTCCATGTGCCTTTTAATGTACAATATTCAAACTCTTCTCCCGGTCTTTCATGGCCCAATTTACTTGGCTCCCTTCTTATCCTGCTCTTTTCAGTCCTTTACAGCATACCATCTTTTGTAGTCAGGTGTACCTCTTCACTGTCCTATGAACATGCTGTGTTCATTCTTGATTCTTTGCCTCTAATTCTTCCATAAACTTTGAATTTTGTTCACCCCATCCCTGTCCAAAAATCTACCTACATTTCAAGGCTTAGGATTTACTGCCACTACTAAACTGTTGAGAATATAACCATTTGTTTTATTTTGCATATGACTGTTCAAGGGTCTATATCCTAACTTTTCCAACTACATTATCTGCTCCTAGGAACTGATCTTATGCAATTATACTCATCACCAACTTTGGCATTCTTTAATTGACTGTCACTAATTGGTTAATTGATTTTACTTAAAATGATGGAATTAGCCCAGACTTTTATTCTTAAAGCCTCCACTTTAGACTCTTGCAAATTTTAGAATCAGTCAGGGAAACATGTAACGACTTTAAAACAGGCTTACTAAACATAGCCTAAGCTAACATTTAGAATCCTAATACCACCTGTGGAGTTAATACTTTAAGCTTGTATATTAGGTTGGCCCTGTGTCTGGTTAATCACTTAAATCCTTAACTCATTGTTGGCCATTGGGAATTGGGCTTACTTTTATAGCCTCTTTCATGTAGACTACAAAAGAGTTCTACACAATTTGATCTAAAGTGTGCTTTTGTATAATCATTATACCTTATTCTTAAAAATACTGATTTGTGAGTATTACTAGATTGAAGAATTTGTTTTTAATAACTTATAATTGTTACATCCTATTTTCCTTTGTTTCTAGGACTTACCTAAAAATATTAATTATAAAAAACTTTACACTGTTGGACTTGAAGTCCCTGATAATGCTACTATTCTGCAGTTCAAAAAATGGGTCAGAGAGTTTCTTTGGGAAAATGCAGAAAATGGTAATTAAAAATCTTTAATATATCAAAACATTTTTACTTAATTGATAAAGATTACTTTAGTAGAAATCATTGTAGACCACTTAAATATGATTTAATGTACATATTTTGCTTCAATATATCTATTTAAAAGGACCCTATCAAAGATTTCTCTGTAGATTACAATGTGTGCATGTCTCTCACTTTAAAATCATTGTAGACCACTTAAATATGATTTAATGTACATATTTTGCTTGAATATATCTATTTAAAAGGACCCTATCAAAGATTTCTCTGTAGATTACAATGTGTGCATGTTTCTCACTTTAGGAAAACTTGACTTGGGGAAAATAAAGTATTCAGAAAACGAAAATTGAGGGGTGATGATTTACATTACAAATAGATTCCTGATAGCATTCCTTAAATACTAATACCTTCAGAACACCTAAAAATAACAGTATTTTAAAATTGATTTAGAAATAACTTTTCTTAAAAGGATAGGGAGCCTAAAGTAATGTGCATCTTAATCTTTTTGATGTAGAGTTTGGTTTCAAACAGAAAAGAAAGATAAACTTAAAAACATGCAATCCTTTTAAGATTTGTGAATCTTTTTGGGGGGAATCCTTCCTCAATAAATAGAGCTATATGTAAACATGTGTTTATAAGGATGTTCATTGATGTGTTTATGATATTGAAAAATTGAAAACAGTTAAATTATTAATGTGGAACTGATTAAATGAATTATGACAAGTACATACACAGATGTAATAATAGTCAGACATTAAAAATAAGTGTATTTATTGATTGACAAAATGCTTGAGATATTTTCAAGTGACAGTGTCATTCCGTAGTTTTATTCATAGATAACACATGTGATTATAACCAAAAGGATATGCGAAGGTACTTCATAAAGTTTGTGGAAAAATAGAAATGAAAGATAATACAAATCTTTCCATGAACTTTTTTAAGTACCTTGATACATCACACTGTTAATAGTGGTGTTTCTGATTTTTGTTTTCTTATTTGTACTTCTTATGTTTCAGCAGGTTTGTTTGTTTTTTGTTTTTTACAATGAACATTTATTACTTTCCTAATTTTTTTCTTTCCATGAACTTTTTTAAGTGCCTTGATACATCACACTGTTAATAGTGATGTTTCTGATTTTTGTTTTCTTATTTGTACTTCTTATGTTTCAGCAGGTTTGTTTGTTTTTTGTTTTTTACAATGAACATTTATTACTTTCCTAATTTTAAAAGATTGCTTTTAAAAGTAAAGTTTTATTCGAATGTTTGTAATTTTAATGGCCAGTGATTTATTTTTATCTCTGGTAGAGGTTTCGCAACATATCACAATACCTTAGAGGTAATCTGGCAGCATCAAAGTCTTAAATCTAGTGATTTCCTCTCTTATCTGCATCATTAGAGCTACTAAAATTCAAAGCTAGTAAGCTAGAGTATACCTGAGATTAATCTCTGTAGGTAATAAATGCTGCTTATGGACAGCATAGCTCTAGCATAAATTTCTCTCACTACCACCTGTACTCTTAAGATTTCTCATCCCCTGATTCCCGCTAGATCTAATTCTCTCTGGATTCCTTCCTTTCTCTCCCAGTCTATTAGTCCCTCTGGGTTCCATTTATGTCCCTTATCCTGTCTGGCTGATAATGTCAATTCTGCTTTCCAAACACTTCTAACTTTCTTAAATTCTTTCCTCTCATTATCGTTTCCCTGTACCTTCTTGTTACAGAACAAATTATATAGGCTAAATAATTACAACAGATTCCAGTTCTCTCATACTTAACCTGCATGATTCTCCTGAATTAAGCAAATTTTTATGTCCAGAAATGTAAAAAGAAAAAGAAGCACATTTTTAGGGTGAATGAACGGATGGAAAAGGATAAAACTGGTATTGACTACCTAGTCTCCTGGCCCTAGGGAAGAAGAATTTCAGGACACCAGGCTGGCTTCTTAGGAAGTGGCTTAATTGCAGATGCATTGCTAATGGCTCTTCTTTAACTAGCTGTTCAGCAAAAGCCTGAGAAGCAGAGTTGGCTTCAGGGTTTCAGGCTGATAGCAACAGTTTGATGCCAATGACAACAGCTGTATTCTGGGCCCAGGGCTTCTAATTTTTACTGTGTCTTTCCCAGCAAATCAGAAACAGCTTTTTAGGTTTATTTCCTACTAAAATTAGGGAAAGGGGATGGGGGACTAATTGCTGTTTAGTTCACCTATTTATCTTGGGAAGACAGATTTCCTGAATCAGATAGATCATTGTTCCTACTGGTTTCTGTCCAGCGGTATAAAGTTGCATTTTCATCTATAATATCAAAAAGTTTATGCTTTGGGGATTAGAACACTGGCGTGGCCTTAGGTTCTTGCTTTTAAAAAACAAGTGGAGGAAAAAAAAATTCCGTAAAAAGAAAAATTCCATATGAATGTGTGGAAAAATGGAATTAAAAGACAATACAAATCTTTCCATGAACTTTTTGAAGTACCCTTGTATATAGCTGAAAAGATACATTCCCCTTTTTTATCCCTATCCCAAAAGTTAGTCACCCATAGATCTTTAAGAAATATTCTCTAAACTCAACCAACAATCCTCCTTCTCTTCTCTTTTGTTTTTTAATTTATTTTTGAATTGAAACATAATTGAGTATACATATTTATGGGGTACAGAGGTGACTATCAGTATTTATGTACAGTATGTGATGATCAAATCAATATTATTAGCATGTTCATCATTACAAATCGTTATTATTATTTGTGTCCCTTACCCAGTTACTCCCTAACTCCACTCCCCCTTTTCCACCTCTAGTAACTATAGGTCTGTTCTCTCCTGCAAGTTAAACATTTTGTTGTGGTCTTTCTTTCTTAGCTCCCATTTTTGAGTGAGGACCTGGGGTATTTCTCTTTCTGTGCCTGGCTCATTTCATTTAACATAATCTGCTCCAGGCTCATCCATGTTGTCATGAATGGCAGAATTTCATTCTCTCCTTCTTTTCTCTTGCATGTTAGAGAAAATACCTCTACTGTGAAGCTCAGTGCCACTGATGGGGTTGATGGTTAAGGGTTTCAGCGAGGTTGTCAGTGCTGCTTAGCAGTCCTCTCCCTGTCCGCAGTCAGCTCACTCATCTGATTTCAAATCTTTACTCCTCTCCTCTACCTCTACCACGCTCATCTCCCACACTCTCAGTAACACTCAGTGAAAATAGAGGACATCAGGTATGATATCCCTTTCTCACTTACTCTTATCTGTATCTGTATTTGCACCTTCTTTCCTCTGCCTTAAGAAGAGCAGACTAATCCTCTAGCTCTGCTGGATATTCTCTTCATTTCTGCCTTCTTCAGGATGTTTTTTCATTTATTCTCACCTCTGTGTAGTTTCAACATATAAACATGCACAAGCCATTCCTGTCTCTTAAAACAATACTCTTTTCCGTTTTGCAACATTAATTATTTCTGATTCTCTGTTTCCTTCCTCTCCTGATTATGCTTTTAGAAGAAATGGAAACAGGATTGACAAGATTGTCACTTACAACCTGATGTGATCTGATTGTTCAATTAGAATGTTGTAGAAATGCAAAGGATAGTTTTTCATATTTATCTTGCTTGAACTCTCCGTAAGCTTTACCTTTTTTATTCATTCCTTCCTTAAACCATCTCTCCTGTTTTGTTTTTAATTTTCTTCTACTTACTTAAATGTTTTTAAGTTTTTTTCTCTAGCTCTTTTTATTTTTCCTGTTCAAATCCTTGATGACTGTTGTTTCTTAAGTTTCTGTCCTAAGCCCTCTTTTCATTCTGTATACTTTGTCTCATCTTTTCCTGTGGCATCAATCACTTGTAGCCTCCTAAATCTCTATCTCTAGCCCAAACCTTTCTCCTGAGTTCCATATCTGTGTTCATAGATGTCTAGTATCTTCACCAAGGGGTTCGACTGGCATCAGAAAACTGAACATGTCAAAAACTGAACTCTTAATCTTCCTTCTCTTATCCCCAACTTCCCTAGTTCTCCTCTCATCCTCCCTGGCCTGGTTTATTATGATGGCTTTCTAAGTAGGTTTCTTGCCTCTCCTCCCACCAATTATTCCTCCATACTACCGCTAATTTATCTTTCTAAAATGTAAATCTGATCAGGTCACTTCCCTGCTTAAAGTTCTTCAATGGCATCCCATCCTATGAGCACCAAATTCCTTAAGGTGACCCAGTGATTCTTCATGGCCTGGTTCTTGGCCATCTTTCTAAAGCCTCATAAGGCTGTTTCACGTACGTCTCACATGTCTGTTCACCATGCCCATTCTGTACTCCTTGCCTTTACACACACTATTCTCTTATTGAAATATTTTCCTAATCTTGTTTACTTAATGAACTCCATCTCATTTTTCCAGATTATCTAAATGTTTCTTTGCAACTTTCCCTCCGAAACCTCCTCTCCCCCAGTGTAAAATTAAGAGCTCTCTCCTACATACTCTTATGATACCTCTGTGTGCATTTATTGTATAGTCTTATAATAATAAATGCTTTGTTTACTTGTCTGTCTTCCCCTGCTAGACTCTGAACTGATCGAGGTACCAGCTAGATTCAGATGGAATTACTGCAGCTATTAGTATTGCTCAAATGAAAACCTTCCCCTTATTTTTCTTTAATATGTAAAGCCATATAGAGATATTTGGGGGAAGAAAGTATGTACATATCAGAAAAGTTTCTAAGTGTAATAGAAATAATTTGTATACATATAAAATGCCATAAAGTAGTTCTGTTTCCAAAAAAAATTCCATTCTATTCAAACTACAAAACAGGTAATGAAAACAAGTCTCTAAAATTTATTATTATAAGCCCATTCTGAATATGTTCACGTAGATATGTATGGTATTTGAAAGTAATTTAAAGACCTGGAAATGTGGGTTTTAACTTTCCATCTTTTGAAAAAACACCCTAGCAGACCCTCAACAAGTGCTTCATGAACCTTCACAAGTGGTTCTGACAGAGAGGCAGCAAACCAACAATTTTGAGAAGAAGTGCAGGGTGTTGGTAAGATATGACAGGTGAATATAAGGTATCTATCTACAAGTGAAGAAAAAAAATCTAGAGCATAAATCTTATTGCAAATTTTCCTCAGAAATAATAACCAAGAGATGAATAAGCCTCTGAAAACCTGTCTTCTTCAAGGAAATATTCAAATTTTAACATCATGGATAGGGAAACTCTTTAAGATAGAGCACCCTGGCCATGAAAAAAAGGTTCCTGGTCCATCCACAAAGGTCAGAAGATTTATCTTACTTTTAATTCTTCAATTGTGGTATCAGAGCATGTGCTTAGAAATGGTGACATAGACGTTCTTAGTAACCAGAAAGTAGTGGTACATTTCATGGAACCCAAAGGTAATTAAGATCAAATAAGTAAGTTGAATGTTATTTCATTCCTAAGTAATGTTTGAGGTATATTATTCATGAACATGATATGAACATTGTCTTTTATTTGATTAACTCTAAAAATTCATGTTTGCTACTGTAGGGTCAACAAGGAAAGCCTGTTTCTTTCCTGAATCTTTGATAGTGCCCCTCTAATATATTGGATTTAAATTTAATAACTAAGAATTCTACCAATGGCAGATATTTTTATTAAAAATTATCATATTATATAAATTATGTATAAAACATGTTCTTTTATTGTACCATTCTGATCTTATTTTTTTTTATGCTTTTTGATGTTTCTTTCCATTTTATAGATAAACTCATTGGAGTTCATTGCACTAATGGAATTAACAGAACAGGATACCTTATATGTAGGTAAGAATGATATAGGTGCTATATTTTCAAATCTATCTTCTTGAGATGAAAATTTTTAAATTCAGTCTTATTCTGTTAAATTAAAATGATATTTTTATTCAGGTACCTTATTGATGTTGAAGGCTGGGATCCAGATACAGCAATTCAAGGTATTTTTATAAAGTTGAGCTAAAAGCAGGCCAAATGTTATGAAAATGTCTAGGGTTGTATAAGTGAATATGGATCACATATGGATAATAAGGCCTTTTTAAAATTCTAAGTTATTTTGCTTTTCTATCAGCAACTTTTCAACTTAATACATTTTAAGTAGACTTTTTAATATAGCCAATTACTCAAAAAAAAAAAATAGGAACCTTAAAAATATTAAATATTTCTCTATAGATTTTTAGGGTCTCATCACTGCTGCCATTAGAAATCATTTTATTACATATCTGTTAATTGGTTAAAGAAATCCTAGGATCTTGTAACATAATTTATCTCACTAATTTTATTTGTTCAATATTAATCTTTCATTGATTATTTTTAGCTTTTGGTGAGGCCCGGGGTCATCAAATAGATGGTTGTGTGTACTTAAAGGATCTCAAAACTCGGCCCATGAGAAGGTAATTTAGAACCCTTTTGTGAATTGTATCCTATCCAAGAATCTTATCCCTTATGTAAAGTTTTTTCTTCCCTTTGCAGTTCTCTTAAATATGAACCTTTGTTATTACTCTCATTGTTGGCCATAGAAACCAAAAGAGAGATAATTTGTCTATCAGTAAGACATGCTGAGTAGTGGCCAAAACTAATTTTTTTGTGTTCAATATATTCAGAGGTTTTAGAAAATTAATCTAAAAAAATGTTAGTCACAAATCTACCACTGTTATATGTAAAAAAAAAAAAAAAAGTTCAGACTTTGCCAACTCCTAAATTTGTCATAGAGTGTGGAAGAAAGTATTTTGAAGTGGAAAAGCTTCAAGTATATAGGTACTATCAGTCAATCACCTTTACCATTAAGAGGAGCCTTGGGATGCCTCCTCTAGAATGGTGGTTTCTGAACTTGTCAGTATAGCAGAATCAGCTTGAGATTGTTTTAAGACTAATTCCTGGACCCCACCATAAAAACCACTAATTTAACAGGTTTAGTATGAGGGGTGGGGGCACTCAGGAATTTGATCTTTGAAAGGTTTAGGATTGGGAACAAATGCAGTAGACCAGATAAATTGATTAACTCAAATTCCTGCGCTGACAAGCTGAGTAAACTGAAAAATGTACCCTAAGTAAGTAAATGATTTGACTTCCTTGACTGATCATGATCTATTGTAGTATTTTAAGATCTCCACTTAGAAATGGCAGCATAATGGATATTAAGCCATTCATTTTAATAGTAAATAGATAAAACCTATAGTTGCTTCTTGAGGTCTATACTGCATACTACATATCATCATAGAGGAGCATATTTTTTCAACAGGAAAGCCTGTGCCCACTTTATTAAAAAGCTTCATTAAGCAAATTACTTGGATATAAATTTTAAAAGATGGGCTAGGGCACAATTCATTTGTTTATTCACTTTGAGACTTAAATTCAATCATTCAACAAATATTTATTGAATGTGTGATATATTCTAGGCATTGTTTTGTGTGTTGCTGATATAGCAGTTAACAGAACGTACTAAAAACCCCTTCCTTTATGGAGCTTACCATCTAGTTGGAAGACAAACAATAAACAATTTAAATAAGAAAGTAAAATACGTAGCTTGTGAGATGGTGATAAATGCTATGGAAGAAAGTGAAGCTGGGAAGGAGAATAGAAAATGTCAGAGTGATGGGTAGAAGGTTCAGATTTAGATGGATGGCCAGAGTGCGTTTTGTAATGATAAATATGCTAACTATCCCGATTTGATCATCACTTATTGTACACAAATATGGATAGTCAACTCTGTACCCAACAAATATGTATAATCAATTATGTTTCAATTTAAAAAAAGCAACAGAAGGATGGCCAGAAAAAGCCTCACTGAGAAAGTGACATGTGACTAAAGAAGGTGACATGTGGCTAAAGACCTGAAGGAAGTGAGGAAGCATGCCATGTGGATAGTAGGTTTTACTTGCATCCCCACCCCTCTTAGATGTTGTTGCCAGCCATCTCCAGTATCCTCACCACCACCCTAGACTCATTCATTCTCTTTATTTCCCATTTTGCTGTTATGTTCATTCCCACTCTTAAGCAATTTTCTTCTTCTGAGATGATGAGTATTATAACCAAACTATTAGTTTGGCTGTAAATTCAAGTCATCTAACATTTATCTAGTGCTATTTTTTCTAAACTAGACATATTTTTTTAAAGAGTGGAGAGAAAATGCAAAAGTGAGAAAATGAGCAGGTATAGACCACATGTTGGAGATATTTGGCAATAAATGGAAAGAGGATACATGTGATAGCACCTTCGGGAAACTGTAGGGTCTCTTTGTTCATTCCTATGACCATACGAAAAATGTAAGTGATACTCTAACTCTAACCCTTCCAGAATTTAAGCAGTAATCCAATATCTATGCTATTCTATGCAGAATATCTGAAGATACTGAGCTAAGCAGCATTGCCATTTTATACAAATCATCACCTAACCATGACCTACTTCCCTAAAGCTTTACTCTTAAAATCCTGGGATAATGTAAATTTAGCCAAAGAACGTTAAGTAGGTGAAAACATAGGAGATTCTCTTGTCCTTATAGTATCCTTTATAACATAGGAGTAAAGCAGTGCCCCAGGCAGAACCTGACTCCAGAAAGTTAGATTTCAGAAAGACTTTGTAAGCTCCAAAATTGAAAGAAGCACCTAAGTCCTTTCCTCCTAGTTTCATCCCTCTACCTAACCCAGCACTATAATTGGGTTACATCCATATAAGGAGAGAATGCAGTATGGAGTACAGAGAATTTAATTGAAGAGAATTTGTTCTACCTTTTTAAACTTTTCCTGAAAGTTCTTTGATCTGATCATGCTTTGGAGAGCTCTTGAAATTCATATATCAGATAGGAAAAGTAGACATTATTCATTTATATCCTTGCTTACAGAGTCTTTAAATTCAGAGCCTTAAGTTATAGCTTTTATGAAAAAATTTTTAAAGGGGAAAGTGCAGATTTCTGGTTATTCTAAACTATTTTTAGAGCTCAGCAGTAAATGGAGATGAAAGCAAAGTGAAATTTTTCTGCTTCCCTTTAAGCTAATTGCTAATTCTTTTTTAAAAAAAAAATTTGTTCTCATTACGATTAATCACTCATAAAAAGAAGGTATTTCTAGTTCAGCTTACACATTTTCACTGATCTAGAGTTTGGCTGACCCACAGAAAGTCCCATCTACTATCCTTTCAAAGGTTGGTGTTTATTGAGAATTTTGGACTTGGAGAAAATAACAGGTTTCTTCTAAAGCTTTACTAAAGATTTTTATAGCCAGCCAGATCACAGCCAAATACCTTCATGTCATGGGTTCAATGTTCACTTGATGTTCTTCTCATTAGGTTCACAAACACCTAATCATTGTCCACTCATGTCTTCTAACAGTTGAAAGCTTTGAATACTCCAGAAACCTTTCACACAGGTCACCATGACTGTGGGCTCACTGTTTTTTCTTGCCTTTTTAATTTGGGTCTTTGGCCATAAACATAGCATATTCTGTATGGGGATAGCAAACTGTTTCTTAAAAGAGAACATAGTAAATATTTTAGGCTTGCAGGCCATCTCTGTTACAACTACTCAAATCTGCCATTGTAGCGTGAGAGCAGCCATAGACAATACATAAACCAGTGGGCAAGGCTGTGTTCCAATAAAACTTTACTTGAAAAAACAGACATCTTGCTCACTTACCTTGCTGACCCCTGGTCTATACTATTCCCATCTGCTGTGGGTTAATTTTATTTCCTTTCTCAGTGCTAGAACCAAATAATCTCTACTTTGTTTTCTTATAGTTTGAAGGATGTGCTGAAATATTACTTTCTCCACATCACTATCTTACTAGTACCTATTTAAACCTTCTAGATGTCTTAAATACCAGGCTCAAATTATGTTGGTTTTCTTTTGAGGTGAGATTCATATATAACATAAAATTAACCATTTTAGAGTGAACAATTAAGTGGTGTTTTAATACATTCACAATGTTGTGCAACCACCACTTCTATCTAGGGAAAAAACACTTTCATCACCCTAAAAGAAACGCTGGACCAATTAAGAATTTGCTCCATATTAGCCCCTTCCTCCATCCCCTGACAACCACCAAGTCTGTGTTCTCTTTTTATGGATTTACCTATTCTTGATATTTCATATTAATGGAATCATACAGTATGCGTGTGACCTTTTGTGTCTGGCTTCCTTCAGTTAGAATAATGTTTTCAGGGTTCATCCACACTGTAGCATGTCTCAGAACTTCATTAATTTTTATGGCTGAATAATAGTCCATTGTACATGTATACCACAGTTTGTATATCCCTTCATCTGTTGATTGATATTTGGGCTGTTTCCATTTTGGTTATTGTGAATAGTGCTGCTATGAACATAGTAGTATATGTATTTGTTTGAGTACCTGTTTTTAATTCTTTGAATTAACTAATATGAGAGAACAGTGATTCCCAAATGTAGTTGTTTGGCAATTACTTGAGGGCTTGTTAATTGAAGACTTCCTTGGCTCACTCTTAAATTGGTGAATCAAAATCTCTGTAGAGGGACCTAAGAATTTTTATTTTTTTAGGCACTCAAAGTTGTTCTGTTGCCAAAAGTCCACAGTTGGAAATCACTATGATAACAAGCATAGGTTTAAAAATCGAATTTGATAGGCCAGAACACTGAGCTAAAACCAGTAAGGTGAAATTTACAGAGATATAAGTATAATCCTACAATTGTTGATTTTTTAAAATTGCACTGAAAAGATGTGGAAGCCTGATTTAGCAGTTCATGTGAAAAAAGCAGGGAATTTTACTTGAAGCAGTTTGATGCAGCTGATTAAAAAGCTATTGTACTTTAAAGGTTGACATTTTAAAGTTTCAGATTTAAGTCAAAGGAAATAGTTTTAGTGTGTATGTGGGTGGTTCTACCATGTTTCAAGTGTTGAATTCAATTGTATATTTTCAACCATGGAAAAACCAAGTTGGGTGATCACTGAGTCTCATCTTTCCTGTAATATAGCAGTGGCACAGTTAAATTCTTTCAAGACTCCACGAAGAAAGCAATTAAAAAGAGATTTTCTCAGGTGCCCTTTGGCTCCAAAATGCAACTAGCAAAATTTTATTGGCCCTGGTTATTGCTTTTATAGAAAAAAATTCCTAGTATGCAGAAAGGGAATATAGAGAGTCTTAAATGGGACATAAGCACTACAGTTTTATTTGAAGTATATAAAATTAAGGCCAATGGCAATAAGGTGTGTTTTAAATTTTTTAGTTTAATACTTATAAAATATTAAGGGATGAGAGACCATTTTCAGTTTAAATGTTCATAGTGCTACAGTTTCTAAGTGTGACATATGTGATAAAAGGATTTTTATGTAAAAGTGGTCATAATAGAGTTAAAGAAAACCAGAGGTGTTTTTATGTAAAATTGGGCATAACAGGGTTAAAGAAAACCAGAGGTGTGAAGTAGTTA